GTGTTTTTTACACTCTCACACAAAAACAGGTGTCATACACAGTGGTTTTTTACACTCACACCAAAAATCAGTGGTGCTTTTTTTGTTGAATTTTTTTTATGTGAAAAGACAAAACACCTCTCTGACAGTTTTTTTTTTCAAAGTATTTGCAGGGAGTTGGTTTGTAGTTACCTGGTAAATGGGCTGTGTCACCTTTTTTTTAATTTTTTTTTTTTTTTTTTGGGGAAAATGGGGTTTCCCCTTCTTTTACTTTTCATCCCCGTCCTTCATTCTTTTTTTCCTTCCTTTCCCAATAGTCCTTCCTTCATTTTGCCTTCCCTTCTTGCTTTTGTTTCTATAATAATATACACATATATAGCACTAGATACTTTCAAAAAATGCATTTTCCCCCCTTCGCAAGCTTTTCTTGTGTGCGAAATGTGTGGCTTATAAATTTTTTTTGAGTCAGAGTCGGGAGCTTTAAAATGACATATTGCTCATTTCCTGCCCCTACCGCCTGTCCCAAAAAAATGGGGGCGGATGCGCTTCCCCCCCCCATTCTATCTAATTATCTTTCTCCCTCATTCTATCCTTTCAAACTGCTCACAGGGACACATAAATACAACTATCATAGTGAAATTACCTAGGAAACCCAAAAAATCCAACAAATCATACTCCCCGCTTAAGAGGAGTAAAGGGGATGAGACACGTCTTGTGGGTCTCTCGAACAGAGCAACGGGTAGACAGGGGGTTTTGGCAGACGACAAAAAGACAGACAGACAAAAATTTTTTTCTTCGTCCCTCGTCGCGTCTCCTGCTTTTTCTTCTTTTCTTCTCCTCCTGCTTTCTTCTTCTTCTTCTCTCCTCCTCCTCTCCTCCTCCTCCTCCTTCTCCTCCTCTCTCCTCCTATCTCTCCTCCCTCCTCCTCCTCCCCTCCTCCTCCTCCTCCTCCTCCTCCTCCTCCTCCTCCTCCTCCTCCCTCCTCCTCTCTCCTCCTCCTCCTCCTCCTCCTCTCCTCCTCCTCCTCCTCTCTCCTCTCCTCCTCCTCCTCCTCCTCCTCCTCCTCCTCCTCTCCTCCTCCTCCTCTCCTCCTCCTCCCTCCTCCTCCTCCTCCTCCTCCTCCTCCTCCTCCTCCTCCTCCTCCTCCCCTCCTCCTCCTCCTCCTCCTCCTCCTCCTCCTCCTCCTCCTCTCCTCCTCCTCCTCCTCCTCCTCCTCTCCTCCCTCCCTCCTCCTCCTCCTCCTCCTCCTCCTCCTCCCCCTCCTCCTCCTCCTCCTCTCCTCCTCCTCCTCCTCCTCCTCCCTCCTCCCCTCCCCTCCTCCTCCTCCTCCTCCTCCTCCTCCTCCTCCCCTCCTCCTCCTCCTCCTCCTCCTCCTCTCCTCCGCCTCCTCCTCCTCTCCCTCCTCCTCCTCCTCCTCCTCCTCTCCTCCTCTCCTACATCCCCTCCTCCTCCTCCTCCCCCCTCCTCCTCCCTCCTCTCCTCCTCCTCCTCTCCTCCTCCTCCTCCCCTCCTCCCTCCTCCCCCCCCTCGTTTATGCTCATCAAAGGTCAGCTCTTATCAGATGTTATCTCCCCTTATCTTGTCACTGTCATGGGTGAACTGTTTTCATGCCTCAAGGGAACATATTATTACATATTATTATTATTAGGTATTATTATTATTCTTATTCTTATTCTTATTCTTATTCTTCTTCTTCTTCTTCCTCCTCCTCCTCCCTCCCCCCTCCTCCCTCCCTCCTTCCTCCTCCCTCCCTCCTTCCTCTCCTCCCTCCTTCTTCCTCCCTCCCTCCTTCCTCTCCTCCCTCCACCTCCTTCTTCCTCCTCCCTCCTTCTTCCTCCTCCCTCCTTCCTCCTCCTCCCTCCTTCCTCCCTCCTTCCTTCCTCTTCCTCCTTCCTTCCTCTTCCTCCTTCCTTCCTCCTCCTCTTCTTCCTCCTCCTCTTCTTCCTCCTCCTCTTCTTCCTCCTCCTCTTCCCTCCCTCCTCCTCTTCCTCCTCCTCCATTGCTTTTGGTCTCAAACTCCTCGAAATCATGAAATTGATCTTCATTGACACTTCCATCGTGTTAGAGCATCACTTGGGAAGAGAAGAGTCCCAGATTTGAAGGGAAGTCACATATTTCTTACCGCTAGACATGCTGAAAAAGGACGACTGAAATGGTATTCCCACAATGCACCACTGGCTCCCCGATTTTTTTTATATGGTGCACACTGACCATGGAGACCCATTCTCTCACATGTGGGCCTACCAGCTTTCTCCTGCTTGATTTGAAGCCGCTAGAATTTATGCGTATAGATACGTCAAACACAGTATCTCCTATGACGTACATATACGACCGCGACAGTCAAAGGGTTAATGGCTGCCTCATTGTGAAGTCTGAAAGTGACTTTAGTAGTGTCTTGGGGTAATCTGCCAAGATTTGTTACGAGGAAGGTAGGGTAGTGGTCTGTGGAATTATCTGTGATTATGCCTGATTTTAAAGGGGATATGGTGTTGATCCAGATGTGGTCTAGTAGGGAAACACTAGTCTCTGTAACTCTTGTAGGTTTTGTTACTGTTGGTAGCAACATGCAGTTACTCACAGTGTTTGTGAATTCAGTAACGTGTGGGTCCTGGTCTTGCAGGAGATTTATATTGAAGTCACCTGAGAGTAGTAAGTGATCTTTGTTCATGTGTGCATCAGTTATCATACTTCCTAGGTTTTCACTAAAACGGCTAATGTTTGACTGTGGTACTCTGTAGATGTTTATCACTGTGAGAGGTTTTTGTAGGTATTTGGATTTGAATTTAGCTATTATATATTCCCCATGCTCATCCCTTGTGCAAGTATTCGTGATACATTCTAGTTGGTCTGAGTAGTACATAGCTGTGCCACCCCCTTGTTGATCTGGCCTACAGTTGTGTATGGCTGTGTAACCAGGAATGGCATAGACATCTGTGGTATCAGGCTTTAGCCAGGTTTCGGTGAGAGTAATGATGGATATACTGGCATGCAGGGAATTTAGTAATGCTATGAGGTCATCATAATGTTTGCTTAAACATTAGGCTGTTGTTGGCTCTGAGAAGTGCCTTTGATTTTTCTGCTGTGTAGTAATTACAGTTACTGTTTGATTCATTTAAGTCATTCAATAAGAGGTTGGTATCAGGATCAATGCTTATCATAAGATTTATAGTGAATCTATAGTTAGAATTAAGTATAAGACAAAGTAAATATTCTAAAGGTATAAAATAGCACCTGAATTATTTTAACAGATGTAAAAAATTGAGCTAAGGTAGTTATTTAAAGCTAAAATAAAGGAGACAATATAAAAGGGACTAAAAAATTTGAGGTGAACAAATAAAGTGGTAATCAAATAAATGAGCTAGGGAATATAATGGCAAAATAGTGAACTTATTACACTTTAGCACCTGAGAATAGCACCTTGATTATTTTAACAATTGTGAATATATGAACTAAGGTTGTTATATAAAGCTAAAATAAAGAAAATATATAAGGGACTAAATTAAATAATGGTAAACAAAGTTAAATTGACAGATAGTCACTATGATATAATATTAATTTGGGAGTAAGATCTGATTTGTTATATATAATAAGTTGAACAATTTATTGTACTATAAAAAGTAAAAATAATATGAGGTAGTTGGTAGTAGCTAGCAAAAGATAGTTTTGGGCCTTGAACAATAATGTAAATGAAATATACACTAATTACACACACAATATAGTCATTAAGATATGAAAATAATCTGAGAGTAGGATTTGCCTTATAGCATAAAGTTTGAGCAATTAATATCACTATAGGAATATTATTTGAGGTAGTTGATTCTAGCTAGTGAGGGATGGTTCAAGGAATTGCACAGTAGTGTAGTAGGAACATACACTAGTTTGTTATTTGTAGTTTGGGAGAAAAGGGAAAATTAGGTATGATTATAAGAGAATTTTAACAGTGCTTAAGTAGGAAAGAAAAAGGTAATACAGATATTATTAACCCTTTCAGGGTCCGTCCCGTAGATCTACAGCTTTACGTTCAGGGTCCAAACCGTAGATCTACGCCAAGAGCTCAGCTCACTCTGATAAACTGTGAGTGGTACATTTGGGCCTAGATATGAGAGAATACATCTATGTGGTATGTGTGCACCACATAAAACAGATCTTGCAGCACACTGTGTATAATGAGAGAAAAAAAATGAAATCATGATTTTTCGATTAAAACAGCAACTTTGCAGTGTTTTTTCGTATGTTTTTTATAGTTGTATTTGCGATTTCTTGGTCTCATTTGATAGAATGGAAGACATATTACAGAAATAGAGATGATTTTGATTGGTTTTAGCATTGGAAATGGCTTGAAACTGAGCTCAAAGTAGCGGAAATGTTAAATTTTTGCCGATATTCAAGAGTAAACAAACGACCTCACACGTCTAATACACGCCAGCTGATGGGTCTAATATACATTCACAAATATGGTGATGATATTTATACAATTATTACAGTACTGCATAACAGTAAATCTTCTATTTTTTGGTGTGAATAAAAATTCATTATGTGAATAAAAAATCAAAATGGAATTTATTTGTAAAGCCTCAAAACATAACTAATGAACAGAGGAAATGTTAGTTTAGTGCCAGGAATGCCTACATTGTTCATTCTGGACCCTATTTTGAAATTGGAATATTTTGAACTTTGTGTTAAATTGGCCAAATTAACAATTTCCGATCACTTTATTTTGTAGTTGAAACAGTTGACTTGGCGATTTCTTGTGCTCAATCGATAGAATAGAAGTAATACTAGTGAAATAGCTAAGAATTTGGTTGATTGGAATAATGTAATTGGCCTAAAATGGGAGTCAAAGTCGGCAAAATTGCCGATTCGTAAATATCGCTGACACATCAAAATTCGCGAGAGCATAATTTCGTCAATTTTCCACCAAATTTCGTACTTTTTGTTTTATTATGTTCACAAAAAGATTCTCTATGATTTCATAAGAAAAAATAACAAATTTTTTTTTTGAAAATTCTTGGACACTGGTGCGTGACTCCAGATTTGGGCCTTGGACCCTGAAAGGGTTAAAGAGTAAGTATCCTATTAACAAATAATAATTTGTGAATTGGGAATCTGGGAAGATAACACAAATTGGGTCACACAAAGAGCTGTGTGGGACACCTGGGATAATGAGGTAGTAAATACTATCTAGGTGACAGTACAGGTATTAGTTCAATAATGATATAATAACATACACTAACGTAGTAAGGATTTGGTCACTAATATCAGTCAGACTCTGTAATGTCTGCATCACGAAGGAAGTTTGCTAGTTCATTTTCACTTGTAATGTAGTACACACGGCCTACATTTGTTTTTCTTACTAGAATTTGTCCATCACGTACAAAGCACTGGTGAATTTTATCATTATTCTCACATTTTAGTTTTCTCACTCTGTACAGGAGGTTCTGTTGTTTTCTTGCGAGACTCATTTATGTATATATCTTTTTTTTGCTCTAATTGATGAAATTATTAGATCTTTTTCCTGTCTTGTGTATGAAATCTGAGCATAACACTTTCTACTTTGGTTCCCTAGTAACCTCGATTCTTTTATTTCCGACACTGGTACATTAACCTGTAGGTGGTCACATATGATCTAGAGAGTTGTATCTTTGCAGATGGAATGGTTTAATTTGCTGGGAAGGAGTGGAGTGTTAATTACTACTGCATCAGATAACTTGTCTTGCTCTGCCTTATCATCTTGGTAAGCAAAGTAATTGTTCAATTGGGTATCCATATTTATTTTCCAGTCCTTGACGACATAATCAATCTTCGTGTTTAGGGAGGTTATTTGATCTGTGTGGCTGGCTATGACTGATTGGAGGGTCTTGCCAAAATCAGTCATGCCAGTTGATGTTAGCTTTGTTCAAGGCTGTTGAACTTATTCTCAAGGTGAAGTAACTTAGATTCATGGTTTGTTAATGTTGCACAAAGAGATGTATTTTCAGCACGAAGATTCAAGTTATCCGCTGTTAGGGTGGTGATGTAGTTCTTTAGAGTATCAGAGATCATTAGTCATACCTGGGAGCATATCAGCTGGGTTAAATCCTATGAAGGTAGTAGAGGTAGAGAGGGAGTCAGTCACGGTTGTTGTTGTTGTTGTTGTTGTAGCGTCACCTTGGTTGGTGGGTGAGGGTGAGTCGGCCATGTTTGTTGTTGGTGATGCGTCGCTCTGGGTTGTAATGGATGGCTGGATGGAGCACTGGCGTCCTGCTGGGTCGTCTTATGGAACAGTCGATTTCTAGGTGCTGCCTTGCTGTTCTTAGTGCTGTTTCTTCTATTAGTTGGTCTCATAGTAGTACAGGAGTTGCTGTGGTTAGATGAAGAAACTAAGATGGTTAACAGCTTGGAGTAGGTAGTCGTCTGGCAGCGGGGTTGTGCTCGGAGTTTGTGGGGCAGTCTTCACTTCAATCCGTAGTTTATCGGTTTGTAGGTATCACTGTTGTCTGTCTTGGGTCATGCTGGGTTCTACATACGTTAGTGCAGTTAAGAGTGCAATTAGGCCATCATAGAAGCGTTGGTGGGCTCTGCCGGTGAGAAAAATGACAGAGCTTGCTGCCTCTGCTGCCGCTGTACTTATACCTATGTAATCTCCCTCTCTCCTACACACCCTAACTTGAGCCTCACTCTCCTCATAAAAACTTACTACCTATTCCATACACTTACAACATCTGCCACATTGCTCCCCTATCCACCCTATTATATGCCTTTTCTAAATCCATAAATGCAATGGAAACTACCCTACCTTTATCTAAATATTGTTCAATTATATGATTCAATGTAAACACTTGATCTACACATCCCCTAACCATTCTAAAGCCTCCTTGTTCATCTGCAATCCTACTCTCTATCTTACCTCTAATTCTTTCAATAATAACCCTACCATACACGTTACCTGGTATATTCGGTTATTATTCATAGGAAGTGACTGGCTGGCAACGTTCATTTTGTGTCCAGTTAGTTTGAGCAGCTTGGTTCAGATTTCACCACAACCCTACCTCCCTCCCCACCACACAACTAATAGTACATACAATAACCCTCACCACTACCTTGCAATCTTAGGCCTAGTACCCCTCACCATAACAGTGCTTGGATGATGAGCATATGTAGTCTGGTGCCAGATGCAATGTGAAAGGGAGTGTTGTGTAGTGTTGTGTCAATTACAATGTCAGAGTGGGAGTGAGAGAAGCAGTCCTACTGCTACTGGATTTGTGTTGTTATCAGTTGCAGGTGAGAAGAAAGGAGGTGGCCAGTGTAGTGCTATTAGTGGCAATGTAAAAGGGAGGGGCAAAATGGAAACTGGAGAAAAGGAATGCCCAACTAGAAGAAGGAAAGAGAAGAGAAATTACTCATTTTCAGTTTCACTGTCAAAAATAAATTAGATCTACAAAGCAGGCAGAATATGATGAATGCCAAATAACAGTCATCAGACAATGAATGTTAACTATATTTAAGACAAATTTTTATAAAACTTTAAAAGCTATTTCATACCTGGGCCCATAAACAGTCTAAGTACTCCTCTTGTGGATGTGGTCTGTCTGAACGCCACACCCTGAGGCCTGGGACGTGCTTGCGACTACGTTTTCTAACATATATCTCAATGTGTTTTAGTAAACGTTCTAGGTCTTGCTCTTTCTTTTCGTATAATTCTCGACCAACCCATGGTAGACAGCTCAGCACAGCATACACATAGGTATCACTACGCACTGAAAAAGAAATAAGGAGGTATTTATGTACAGTATTATTGAATTGAGTGCATGAGCAAAAATATAAATACCACAGCATGGTTATTAACCCTTAAACGGTCCAAACGTATATATATGTTCGTGCGCGTAGCGCCCCAAACGTATATATACGTTTTCTTTGTCATTCATTCAACATTGCCACAATAAGCCTGAGTTACCTAGACATGAGAGAATGGGTGTGCACACTCACTGTGCACCATATTAAAATAATTGTGGATGCCTGGGTACCACATGCTCTTTTTTTCCTTTTAACCCTTTGAGGGTTTTGGTCGTACTAGTACGTCTTACGCGTAGGGGTTTTTGACGTACTAGTACGCATAAATTCTAGCGGCCTCAAATCTAGTGGGAGAAAGCTGGTAGGCCTTCATATGAAAGAATGGGTCTATGTGGTCAGTGTGCACAGTCTAAAAAAAATCCTGCAGCACACAGTGCGTAATGAGAAAAAAAAAACTTTGACCATTTTTTTGGAATAAATCAGCGACTTTGCAGTGTATTTTCGTATGGTATTTATTGTTGTATTCTAGTTTTCTTGGTCTCATTTTATAGAATGGAAGACATATTACAGAAATTGAGATGATTTTGACTGGTTTTACAATGAAAGGTGCCTTGAAATTGAGCTCAAAGTAGCAGAAATGTTCGATTTTTACCAAACTTCAAAAGTAAACAAATCGTGCCAAGCGTGCAATACACGTCAACTGGTGAGTCTAATATTCTTTCACAAGTGCACCAATAATATTTATACCTTTTTTTACACTAATGCAGTAGTCTGCATAACAGTAAATCTTATATTTTTTGTGAGAATAAAAATTCAAAGTGGAAAGCAAAAGAATATAAGAGGGGCCTTGAGACGTGACTAATGACTAGAGGAAATGTCATTTTAGTGCCAGGAATGTCTTTCTTGTTTATTCTGGACCCTATTCGGAAATTGGCATCTTTTGAAATTTGTGTGAAATTGGCAAAATTGCTAAATTCTGACCACTGTACTGGATAGTTGAATTTCATAAATGGGTGGTTTCTTGCACCCATTTGATAGAAAAAATGGAGTTCTAGCGAAATATTCATGCTTTTTGTCGACTAGTACAGTGAAATTGGCCGAAAATGGGGCTCAAAGTGGGCAAAATCGCCGATGCGTAAACATCGCCGAGACCGCTAACTTTGCGAGAGCATAATTCCGTAAGTTTTCTATCAAATTTCAAACTTTTGGTGTCTTTATGATCGGGAAAATATTCTCTATCTTTTCATGAGATAAAATAATTTTTTTTTTTTAAATTTGGCCGACCATGAGAACGAGTTTCGGAGAGGGCCTGTCGACCCTCAAAGGGTTAAAAGAAGATTTTTTTTTTTCCTTAAAAAATTTGGGGCGCTACGCGAGTGAACGTATATATACGTTTGGACCGTTTAAGGGTTAATAAAGTACGTAATAATGGGTGATCTGATCTACAGGTACTATACCATCACTAAGGTAAATAGTGGATAGGGAACAGTAAAAGCTTAACTAGATAAACCTGACTGCCAAAAGTGAGGTCTCGCCTTCAATATCGTAGGAGATATGTAGAGCCCCTACTTAATGAGAACTCGGTAACTGTAAACTTGTTTAACTGAAGACAAATGAATACAATAAGAACTTGACCCACATGACAACAACCTGTACCCTGGATCAGAGAACTACCACAACAAACACAAGAACCAGCCATGAGAGGTATACTCTAGGCCAAAACTTTAAGCAAGTGTATTCCTTAAATAAAACTGTAATGGTATTTTTTCCATACAGAAAAATCCTCAAAAAATTTACTATTATTTTTTTTAACACACCAGCCATTTCTCACTGAAGCAGTGTGTCCCCAAAAAAAGAAGAAACACTTTCACCACCACTCCAACACTGTCTTGCCAGAGGGGTGCCAATACTACAGTTCAAAACTGCAAATATCCCCACCCCTCCTTCAAACTGCCAGCACTATACTCCAGGACTCAGGTTCACCTAACTGATGAACTTGAGTCCCTTCATAAATGTTACTTTGCTAACACTCCAACAGCACGTCAAGTCTTAAAAACTGCTTGCCTCCACTCACTCCTATCTAACATGCTCACACACACTTGCTGGATGTCTAAGTCCCTCACACACAAATCTTTCTTTACCCCCTCCCTTCAACCTTTCCTAGGACAATCCCTACCCCGCCTTCCCTCCACTATGGATTTATACATTCTCAAAGTCATTTGATTTTGTTCCATCCTTTCTACATGTAAGAAACACGTCAACAACCTCTCCTTAGCCCTCTGGATAATAGTTTTGGTAATCCCACACCACCTCCTAATTTCCAAACTATGAATTCTCTACATTATATTCACACCACATATTGCCCTCAGACACATCACCACCACTGCCTCTAGCCTTCTCCTTGTTGCAACACACACCACCCATGATTCGCACCCATATAAGAGCATTGGTATATCTATACTTTCATACATTCCCCTCTTTGCTTCCATAGACAAAGTTCTTTGTCTCCACAGACTCCTCAGTGCACCACTCATCTTTTTTTCCCTTGTCAATTCTATGATTTACATTTTTTTTTTTTCAACAAGTCGGCCGTCTCCCACCTCCCACAATGCATGATGGAAACAGCTAGCCTCTAACCTTGTTTGTGGAAAAATAGCTAATAAAATAATGGAAACCACTCAGGCATTTTCCTGAGTGGTTTCCATTATTTTATTAGCTATTTCTTGGGACTATTTTACAGACCAAAAGATTTACTAGTGAAATGGAGATTTTGGTCGGTTTCAAACCAGAAATTGCCTAAAACAGTATCAAAATGGTGAAAATGTTAGATTTTTGGAAATTTTCCTGAGGAAAGGTAGTAGCCCCCCTGGTCTGTTTTATGGATGTTTACTGGGTCTGATTCAATTACTGGGACAGCATAAACTATGACTAAGCATTTTTGGGTATATTTGAGAAATAGGGAAAGCTTTGATATTTTTGTGTGACAATGGATTCAAAATGGAGGTTAAGTTGTTATATAGGAGAGGCCTCAAGACATAATTAACCCTTTCAGGGTCCATGCCATAGATCTACGGCTTTACGTTGAGGGACCAAACCGTAGAGCTACGCCATGGCCCATGTCCTTTCGCATGCTATTACATTACTTTTTAACAAGTCACTAGAAACTAGCACTTTCCCGACACTACTCAAGACAGCAAGGGTTTCACCAATACATAAAGGTGGTGACCCTACAGATGTAAACAACTATAGGCCAATATCAAACTTACCATTGCTATCCAAAATCTTTGAGAAACTCGTGCACAGGAGACTATATTCATTCATAACGTCACAAAACATACTCAACCCCTGCCAATCTGGATTCAGGAAAAATAAAAGCACTAATGATGCAATTATAAAAATGCTAGACCTGCTTTACACAACACTGGAAAATAAGGAATATCAGCTAGGAATTTTTATTGACTTAAGAAAAGCGTTTGACACGGTAGACCACGGCATCCTACTCCACAATCTTGACCACTATGGTATAAGGGGCCATGCGCTTGCATATTTTAAATCCTACCTTTCTAATAGGTATCAATATGTCACCATTAAAGACAGCCTCATCAATACGGCCACTTGATGCTGGAGTTCCGCAGGGAAGTGTCCTTGGACCCCTGCTCTTCCTCATTTACATCAATGATCTTCCAAACATATCCCAACACCTGAAACCCATTCTCTTTGCTGACGACACGACTTATGTCATCTCCCACCCTAATCTTGCCACCCTCAACACCATTGTTAACGAGGAGCTGCTCAAAATATCGACTTGGATGACAGCCAATAAACTTACACTTAACACTGGCAAAACCTACTATATTATGTTTGGTAGCAGAGCAGGTGTTGCGCAACTTAACATTAAGATCGACAACACTCTAATTGCCAGACATAATGAGGGCAAATTCCTTGGTCTATACTTCGACAACAACCTAAATTTCAGCACCCATATCCAACACATAACAAAAAAAGTATCCAAAACGGTGGGGATCCTCTCCAAGATACGATACTATGTACTGCAAACTGCCCTTCTCACACTATACCATTCACTTATATATCCATACCTCACCTATGCTATCTGTGCATGGGGTTCAACTGCAGCAACAAACCTAAAGCCAATAATAACCCAACAAAAAGCCGCAGTAAGAATAATCACTAAATCTCATCCCTGGCAACACACCCCCACTCTTCATAGATCTAAACTTACTCCCTGTTCAGAACATCCACACTTACTACTGTGCAATCTATAACTACAGGACCTTAAATTCCAATATTAACCTTGACCTAACACGCTTTCTTGATAGTTGTGACAGGATCCACAGGCATAACACCAGACACAAACATCTCCATGACATTCCCCGTGTTCGGCTAAACCTTTACAAAAATTCAATGTATTTCAAAGGACCTAAAACCTGGAACACCCTACCTGAAAACTCTAGAACTGCAGACACATTCATCACTTTCAAAACTACAATTAGAAAACATCTTATCTCCCTGATACACCCCGACAACTAACTACATGATAACCACCTGGTGGTTCACAATTACACTCACTCACCCACTGACTATAAACCCAGAAATACTAATCTTAATCTTAACATAATAAATCCTAACTAGTCATAAGTTTGCCTATGATACTCCAATATAGACACCTTGTATTGTGCCAAAACAAAAGCATTCAAATTGCTAAACTCACAAATTATGATGTAGTCACTTAGCCTTAATACCATAATCTGTAAGGATTTAATGTTAAGAATTAATCTAAGTCTGCTCGAAATGCCTAGCCATGCTAGGTGTCCTAGTGGCCCCCTCTGTAATTAGTATTTTATAACATGTAAACCACACAATACCCAAAACCTGTAAACCCCACATTGTAATCCTTATAGAGAATAAACTTGAATTGAATTGAATGAGTTCGGTTCACTCTGATAAA